ATCTGTGTTATGGCTTGGCAGAAAGTTTGTCTGCATTTTGCTCATGTCCAGAGACTGCCTAAGACTGAAATTAAGGGTGGCAGCGGACTGATTAATCTGGCAAAAGAAATTTCAAGGCAGTCGAATGTTGGGGAAGTGGCATGGCTATTATTGCGGGCTTTTAGCCAGATTTATATTGAGAATCAAGAACAAAGAGCCCAGTAGGATGATTTAAAATGTTGTGATTTTGGCCAGAAAGGAAGCTCCAGTAAAGCTGTGGACTGCAAAGGTGGAGCTGAGGAGATCTCCATTGCTGAGAAGGAACAAGAGAATGGAAAAGATGGCCTGAGGGCATCATAAGCAGCAAGTCTCCACTCTTTGCAGCCTCAAACCAGCAAATGTGAAAGACCTTGCTTTGAGAAGAAAGCTGCTGAGCGCCATGTTTCAGAATGGTGGCAGCATAGAGGATTTGTTCCTCAGAATTGGATTCAGAGTGCCCAGCAATCCAGGCACTCGACCCCTGTGGCCAAGAGAGGGGAAAACTTGGCTACTGCTCCAGGTGGCAGCAGACCTTGGCATCATCCCCGTGGCCCTGGCTTTAGGTGCATGGTGAATGCAAGAGTTCTGAGGTTAAAGAGGCTTCCACCCAGATTTCAGAAGGCCTGGGAGGCCAGGCAGTGTGCCCCTGAGAGGGCAGTGTGTGAGGCTATGACTGTGAAGCAAAAGGTACACTGGAGACCTCAGAAGTTTAGAAAAGCCAGGACCGTGGATCATCTAAGGAAAGCTGCAAGGAGGGAGCAAAGCAGGCCTAAGAGAGAAGTCATGGAAGCTGTAATCACCAGAAGTGCAATAGGGGTGGACTCATGCAAGCCCTTTGGAGCTCACAATGTGCCACAGATTTCTCCAGATGCTGGTCATGGAACTACAGGACATAATGTTAGCCCTACTGGGTTTTGGACTTGCTTTGGTCCCGATGCTCTGTGTTCCCCAGTTTGTACCTTTTGGAATAGTACTGCTTATTTTGTGCCACTGAATGTCGGAACTTTTAACTTTTCATTTGTACAGGGGGTCACAGCTAAGAGTTTGCCTTACATCTGGGAGGAGACTTGGAACTTAGATTCTTCAGCAGTGCTGAAACTGTGAGGACTTTGGCAACTCTTGCAGATGGACTAAATGCTGTTTGTATGAAGGGATGGGCATGAGTCTTTGGGGGGCCAGGGGTGGAATGTTATGGTTTGTGCCTGGGTGTCCCCCCAAAGCCTCATGCGGTCATGGGGTAGGCTTTTAGAGTTTGATTGATTATGGGTGTGAGAGCTACACCTGCCCTGGGGTGGATAGTTTGCATATGTAAGGGAGAGGAAGAGGCTGCTTGCTGCCATTCTTCCCTTTTGTGCTTGTTGCTTTTGCTGTGTTCTGCCGCCATGAGCTTAGTCCTCTGCCATGTGCCACTCTGCCTTGTAACCTGCCAAGTATGGACTGAAACCTCCACAAACTGTAAGCAAAATAAACCTTTTCTTCCTTAATTTTGGGCGTCAAGTATTTTGCCCCTGCAATGAGAGAAAAGTAACCAAGACAAATGGTGGTGGGAAAACTGGTCATCCACATGCACAACAATGAAACTAGGTGCATATCTCTCATCCTGTAGTAAAGTCAAAACCAAAAGGATCAGAGACCTAGATAAAAACACAAAAACATTGAAACAGTTGGAAAATAATATAGGGAAATCACTTGAAGACATAGACCTAGTAAGGTCTTCCTAAACAGAACTCCAGTAGCACAAGAAAGAATGTTAAGAACCAACGGCTGGGATTACATTAAATTAAAAAGCTTCTGCACAGCAAAAGAAACAATCAACAGGTTGAAGAAACAATCTAAAGAATGGGAAAAAGATCTTTTTCAGCCATTTTTTGGATAGAGTACTAGTATCTAGAATATATAAAGAACTCAAAGAATTAGACATCACAAAAATGACCCAATAAAAAAATGGGTTCGTCTCACTCACGCACTTGACAGCATGGGTTGTGAAGAGGGACAAGTGCAATGGTGTCTCGGCTGCTGGGCGAGCGAAGGGGCCACAGCTCTCCCTGCTCCTAGACAGCCTGTGGCGGGCAGCGGTTGGAAGGATGGTAGCTCACAGCCCAAGATGATAAGTGAATCCTGCCCCATTGCCTGACATGGCATGCTCAGGGCTGTAACCAGGATTTAACCCGTTTTTCCCTCCATCTCCAGCAGGTGGCGCCAAAGCACCTGCCCAGCTGTGCACCTGCCCCAGGAAGGGTTTGCCTAGTGGAAAATGGAACTGGAATTTAAAAAAAAAAAAAAAAAAAAATGGAACTGGAGCCTGTTTGGGAGGGAGGCTGTTTCTTTCCTTCCAGGGATCCAAGCAAGGGGAGCAGGTGGGAAAGATCCTGGGTGAACAAGTTCTGGCAAAAAGTAAACTTCTGCAATGAGTTCCTGAGTTAGGATAGCTACTCACACCTGCTTCTGGGTGTTAGGGTGACTGAGATGGTTTTCCTTTGGGGAGCTCACGGTCCCCCAAGGATCGAATGACCTGGAGATTGAGACCCAGAGCAAGCCCGAGCTCGAACACAACTATCCTGGATGGTGAAGCTCACAGCAGGGAGCTGGGAAGGAACCCTGGCTCAGCTGACCCCAATGTGCATGGTCTCTGTAGCAAGCCACGGTTCTCGCTGTTGAACACCCCATGCAGGTGCTGGGGTAGAGTGGAGATGACGGGGTCTTTCTCACAGGGCACTCTGGTCTGACGGAAGTGGGGGGCCAGACATCATTCTGGGATCCACTCAGGAGGAGGTGCCAGAACAAGTGCCCCTTCGCAGAGGGGTCAGAACCTTTGTGCTTGATGCACTTCAATCTCATGAATGTGTGACCAGAGGTGAATGAGAAAGAGGCTGGGTCTCAGACCGAAGCCACGATGATCAAGGTGAGACTTGGGTGAGCCTTGAGAATGAGTTAGGAAGACGGTGAAAGGAAGCGAGGGTAAAAGGTGACGAGTTGGCGTGAATTGGGGCTTCTGTGACATTGAAGCCCACAGGCTTATGCCCGTGTGTGCACACCCGTGCACAAGACACACCCAGCACACCCAGCTGGAACCCCAGTGTTGAAGCCCTCTGGCTTTTTCTGGTCTCTTTCCTCTGTGTAAATGCTGGTGGCCACCCTCTGATTTGCTGTGATCAAGCACAGGGTCTGGAAAAGTGGAGACCAAAAGGGCGCAGCAGCCCCCTCCTCAGGGGATGAGTTCCCCTGAAACCGCGGTGGTGCCAACTCCACCCACGCTGAACTCTAGATAAGGCTGAGTTCCCCTACAAATACATCCTGTGATAGGGCTGGACTTAAAATTAGGCACCACGACACGTGATAGAGCAATTACAACTGGATTCCACAAGAAAAGTAACTTAAACTCACGAACTGTTCATTTCTGGAATTGACCATCTAATGTTTTCACACTGACTGTGGGTAACCGGAACTGCAGGAAGCAAAATGAGGGGCAAGAATGGCATCTGGAGCCAGACTCTGAAGATCCTGAAGTGCTGGGGCGGCCGGATTGGCCCCTGTCCTGTCCCGGCCTCCCAGCTCTCTGCAAAGGCCAAGGCAGCAAACGTCTGTCTCGCTCTCTGGCTCTTTCCTTAGCGTCCGGTTTCTCAGGCTCGGCCTCTTCCGTCACCTGTAGGTGCTCCTCTTCACAGAGGGTTTTTCCGCTCCTGTGCTTGCTGAGCTCTGCACTGAGTCCCCGTTCCTTCTGCTTGGCCTCCCAAGGGTCCCAGCCTTGGGCTGAGTGACAGCCCACTCCTACCGTGAAGACTCTAATTGCTCTCGACAGCCCAAACCCTCTGCTGTGTTGCACCTGAACGGCCCCCCAAACCCCTAGTTGAAGGCGTGGTCCCCGCCTGCCGGGCAGCAGGAGGGGCGGGGCCTCCAGGAGGTGGGGCCGAGTGGACGGAAGTGAGGTCACTGTGGGCGTGGCCTTGCAGGGACGCTGGGGCGTGGCCTCTTCTCCGTTCCCCAGCTGCCCCGGAGGAGCGCTGTGCTCCGCCGCGTGGTCCCGGCGTGGTCCCGCCGTGGACCGCTGCGGTGCCCCGGGTCTTGCTGATGAGTCTCAGGGTCCTGCCAGCGGGGAAAGCCGCCAGCGCAGC